GGTTTAAGGATTAGGAGTTTAGGGTCTGACATTGGAAAGTTGCAGGGTTTAGGGTTTAGTACGGTTCTCAGCGTGTCCCCAGTGGATTGTTCCCATAACCTTCAGAGCTTAAGCAAAAGTCCCCGGCGTGATTGTTTTCCCTGTTCATTTCAGGTGCTAGCAAATTCTAGCTTCCCTGGCCCGCAAAAAAGTCTCTACTTTCTTGCCCACAAATACATGGAGCGCTACATCCTGAAATATATGAGCTATAATCTAAATTCCTTCAAGGGGGTTATATAGGAGATTATAAGTAGTATTGTAGGGGCTAGTAAGGGGGATACTACGAATTTAGACTCATATGCCTTAAGGCCCGAGCCCTGAACCTTAAACTCTACAACCAAATCCCCAAGCCCTAATCCCTCATCCTCTAAACCTTTAAGGCCTAAACCCCTAACTCCTAAACCTCTAAACCCTAACCCTGAACCCTAGACCCCTTAACCCCTAAACCTTCAATCCTAAACCATCAATCAATGCCTAAACATTTAAACCCCTAAACCCCTAAACCCGAAACCTTAAGCCTCGAACCCAAAGTCCCCAGAACACCCTGAGGCCTGGGGTCATCCGCACGCGGATCGCGCGATCCGAGTCCTGGCCGATGAGGCCAGGATGGGGTTTGAGGTTTATGGGTGTAGGATTTAGGGGTTTAGGGGTTTAGGGTTGGATGTAGGGTTTGGGGCCTAAAATTTCAGGTTTGGGGCCTGACGTCTAGGGCGTCGGCGGTAACCCACCCAAGAAGTAGCAATCCTGTCAACAAGAGTCCAAGTATGTGCGGGGACTGTTCCCATGCTGATGATTGCGGTTTAGGCTTTGATATGGCTGGGCAGATTCTAGCCACCTCGCCTGACCTCACCTTAAATGGTTTGGGGGGTAAATGGTTGGGCGGAGGGGGGGGGGCCAAGGAGGGCCCCCAATGGCCAGTGAGGTTGCGGGGTCTAGGTTTTAAGGTGCGTTTGTTTGCTTCCATGGAGACATGCTAGCCAGATGTGCATCACTCAAGAAGATGCCCGAATCTTGAGAAGCAGCCGCATGGTCCGATCTTCCACCTCTACAGTTCGAGGTACAAGCTGCCCCAGTGGTACCCTTTTTCCCTTTATTTTGGGGTCTCCTTATGAAAACAGAACATTAGGAAAAAAGGTACCCTTATGATTCGGGGGTTACTGGGGAACCTGGGGTGCAAATCCTAATCCCACACGATTTTCTGAAAATGATGTTTCCTCTCTTTCTGTTGTGTTGGCGCCCTTATAT